TGGAGGGGGGTTTCCTCACCCCCCCCCGACCTGCTGACCCAGACTCTCTAGCAGTGGAAGCTGCCATGTGGTCTCTACTGAGCCCTGCAGGTAATTTAAGTGCACACTAGGTCTGAAACCAGTTCAGGGCGCTCTGAAGGTAGGCAGCACATCCTACAGACGCTGGGATCATTCCTTTCTCAGGGCGCCCTCTCCCAAGCCCTTTTTCCAACCATGTTTTGTTGATTAGAGTTGACCAATCGCTGCTCAGACCCGTGTTCTGAGTTGCCACTGTGGAATTCCCAGGAAGGGCTTCAGATACCCAGCTGGGAACCCTGCACATTAAAACAGCTGCTTGTCCCTGAGCAGGACTGGGTTCACATCTCAGCGGACAAGCCCTGTCTCACAGCAGTACCTGGGGGCAGCTGAGGCCCAGCCACAGCCGGGTTCACACCACCTCACCCACAGCCTTCCCTGCCTGGACCAGGCTGGCTAAGGTGACAAAACCCCTAGCCTCTCTCCCTGCTGAATTGTGGAATTGCAAAGGAAAACCTCTCCTCTGCTGTGCCCAGCTCACACTTGGTGGATGAGAACCAAGTGGGGACAGCGGGCCTCATTTTTCTCCACACCCACCCCACTTCTGCCTTCGTGTTTTAGACTTAGTTCTACAGAAATGGCACATTTTATTAATAACCCTGTGGCGAGGGAATTCACCCATCTCCCAGGCCACTACTGGGTCCCCACCCCTTCCCTCCCCTCCCTGGGTCAGCATGCATGCTCACTCAGGCCCATGGAGTTGCACGGCCAGGACTCTGGGCATCAGGCACAGGACTGAAATCCACCATTGCTCTGACTTCACTGCCATGCAAATGGCACAGCACCAGGGTCAACTGAGAACAAGGTTCTGGGCACACGTGGGGTGCCTCCCCCAAGGGCACATCAGGAGATTGTGTCACCCAGAGAAGATGGAGCATGCAGGGCTGCTGTCAGGGCCAGAGGGCAGTAAGCCAAGGCATCTTTGAGCTGTTACGTAGGAAGTACTGAGTGTAAGTGCTGGGCCTCTCACCACGGTCTTAGCTGCAGCCATGTCTGGAAATCCCGGTCGAATGCGTTTGCTGGAGAGGCAGAAAGCAAGAAATCGCCACCCCCCTCTCCTCAGAGGGTGGTGGCCATGCCACAATCCCTTCTCCATTCTCCTCTCAGGATTTGGGGCATGCATACACATGTGCCGTGTTGTGTTTTAAGCCACTGGGTCTGGGACTCGAACTGCGGTCGACTATGTGGGAGTCCAGTGTTGTAACCACTATGCCACCTGCTAGCCCTGCTCGGTAGAGCTGCCTTCTGCTCTGCTGCTCAGCAGCACTCAGGTGAGGTGGTCTTGGCCAGCAGCTGGAGAGAAACAGGTAAGAAATCGCCTGTGGTAAGAGCATTGTAAGGTGAGTCTGGAGGAGGGGAATTAAGAGGTTATCATTTTATGAAACATGCCAGTGTTGTGGAGGAGGCAGCTCAGGTCTGAGTGTGTGAAGTGACACCAAGAGTGGATCTAGGACAGCAAATGCCCTGGAGTCTACGCTGAGTGGAGAACTGCCACAGGACAGAGGGTGCAGGGGTGGAAGAACAGGCAGGCTGCTTCTCTGGGTAGCTAATCACCTGGAGTGGAAAAGCAGCCAGACCCCCTGCAGAGAGGTCTAGGCCTGCAAAGAGGCCAGGCAGTGAGTCCTTCTCAAAGCTCCATGCTGGTCACCAACGCCAGGTCCCCCAACTAGACTTTTTTCTTTTTCTAAGACAAGAACATTTGCAAAACCACAAATACTGAATGGGGATGCAAAGGGCAGGAGCTACTGGGCAGCTAGGGAAGGGAGCTCTGTACCCAAGTCCTTTCCAACTACAGTGTGAAATCCCCTGGGTGGACAGGTCACAGGGATGGAGAGCTCCGGGAGCCAAATGGGCTAAAAAGAAAAGGAAAGGAGTCATTTGCCTTTAGGATGCCATTTTAAAATAATTATCTGGATCTTTTGGGTCAATTGCTCCGGTGCTTCTCAAGCATCCTGGCACATCCTTCTGCTAATGGGAAATGA